GGGGGCTGTGTGCGCGCGTGTGTCAGTGTGTGTGTGTGTCAGTGTTCGTCCGTTTGCGTGCCTGCCTGTGTGTGTGTATGTGTGTGCGTCTGTTTGCGTGCCTGCCTGTGTGTGTGTGTATGTGTGTGCGTCTGTTTGCGTGTCTACCTGTTTGTGCCTGTGTGTGTGTGCGTGTATTTTGTGCTTTTTCACCCACCTCACACGCTGCTGTTTTGCAGGCACGCCGTGATTTGGAGCATCAAGTCATGGAGACCCAGGCGCAGCGCATGGGTGAGGAAGTCGCTCAGTGCACCGTCACACGACACAGTTGTGCTTTCACGTCACGGCCTCAACTCCTTTTTTTTTGCTGTATTCTTCGACGCCCATGCCGCAAACACACCTTCACAGCACTACGCACGCACACACGCACACACGCACGCACGCACACACGCACGCACACACTTCCTCACCAACATACACCATTACTCACTCACCAACATGCACGCACTCACGCACGCACACCGTAGGGCTTGACAAGGCGAGCGAGGAGTATGCAAAGCTGCACGAGCAGCAGCAGGAGATCACGGGCCTGTGGGAGGGCGTGATTGCCAAGATGGAGGAGAGGGACCAGGAAATCACAACAGAGGCAGAAGCATTCGCGAACCTCAGGCAGCACATTGCAGAGAACGTGAGTGGCAGAACTGTGTGGTGTTTGGTTGAGGGGGCGGGGGAACGGCGATGAAGGGATGTGTTGAGATTGGAAGAGATGGCACGTGCGTTTCTGGTTCAACTTTGCACACGTGGGCGAACCTTGGCATTTCCGATTTAATTCCTGAGCTCCAACCGAACGACTACGCACACACACACACACACACACACTCTCTCTCTCAATCTCTCTCTCTCTCTCTCTCTCTGTCTCTCTCTCTCTCTGTCTCTCTCTCTCTCTGTCTCTCTCTCTCTCACACACACACTCACAAACTCACTCACACTCACACAAACACAAAAACACTCCCTCTCTGCAGGATGCGCTGATTCGGGAGAAGGACGCGTTTCTCGCCGAGCAGAAGAAGACGAACCGCGAGGTTGAGGCGGAGGTGAACATGACCGAGCGGCGCATGCTCAAGGCCCGCGAGCACCAACTGCGGGAGGAGAAGCAGCTGGACACATACACGGACGAGCTGCGTACGCTGCGAATCACCCTGTCCAAGACGGCCACGGACCTGTCGGCGAAGAAGGCGGAGCTGACGTCCCTGCAGAAGCAGCTGGTTGAGCGGACACGCCGGTGTGATGATCTTGAGCAGGAGGTGGCCAAGGCCAGGGAGAACATCACATCCATGCAGAAGCGGCAGCTGACGGCTGAGGAGCGCGAGCAGCAGCTAGCGCAGCTGTTGGAGGGGGAGGAGAGGGAGCAAGAGTCCATCCTGAAGGAGGTGGCGGCAATGCGTCAGGTGCAGTTTAAGGCGGCAGAGCGGGTGAAACAGCTTGAAGAAGAGCACGCGCGGTTGTCGCAGGAGCTCAAGGGCAGCGAGGCCGCCAACGCCAAGGCGCAGGCACGCATCCGCACGATGGAAAAGGACCTGTCCAAGCAGGCGCAGCTCATGTACCAGCTCGACTTTCAGATTGCAAACCTCGAGCGCAAGCTGCAGAAGCTCGAAGGAAAACAGTGAGTGGCGCTGATGGGTTCTTTTGTGTGTGTGTGTGTGTGTGTGTGTGTGTGTGTGTGTGTGTGTGTGTGTGTGTGTGTGTGTGTGTGTGTGTGTGTGTGTTTGTTTGCTTTTGTGTGTCTGTGTACCCACATGCTTCTGCTTGCCTTGTTGCCTGTGCTCATGTGTGTGCGCTTGTGACTGCTGCACGTGTTTCACGCATTTTGCACCAAACACACGCAATTTCTCATCATCACCACCACCACCTCCACCACCACCACGTTTTGGGTGCCAGGACGAGCGGAGAGAAGGAGAAGTACGAGGCGCAGATTGCGGAGTTGAAGGAGCAGCTGTCGGCGCAGCAGCAGACGAACAAGCTGCTGCACCAGCAGATCAGTGCCATTGATGACCAGATTCGCGTTGGGCGGCGCCGGATGGACACGGACGCAGAGGAGCACAAGCGGCAGGAGGAGTACATTACGCAACTCACGCTCGCCACGAAACGCCTGGAGAAGGACTTGAAACGCACAGTGACGTCCAAGGAGGACCTGCTGGTGGAGGAGAACATTCTCAAGCTGGAGATTAAACGCGTTCGACAGGCGCTTAACGACAAGGCGGACCGCGTGTACACGCTGGAGCAGCGCAAGCTGCAGCTGCAGCAGACGATGAAGGACAGGCTGGAGGAAATTCAGATCCACAAGGACCTGTTGCAGAAGCAGCAGAGGGAGGTGGAGGCTGACAAGTCTGCCATCAACAAAGGTGTGTGTCTGTGTGTGTCTGTGTGTGTCTGTGTGTGTCTGTGTGTGTCTGTGTGTGTGCTTGCATGTGTGTGTGTGTGTGTGTGTGTGTGTGTGTGTGCGTGCGTGCGTGTGCTTTTGTGTGTGTGCAGTGTGTGTATGTATGTGTGTGCAGTGCCGCACGTCTACATGAGTTAAAATGAGTTCGCATTCCCCATCTCCCGTTCTCACCACCGCGCCTGTCCCCATCCCCCTCCCTCCCCCTGTGCCCAGAGCTGAACGAGCGGTTTGGGCGCATTGACCAGCTGAAGAAGCGGTACGAAATTATTGTCATGTCGATGGATTCCACAGACGACGGCGAGCCGAAGACACACGCGTACTACCTTGTCAAGCACGCGCAGGAGCGGGAGGAGCTGCAGCGCCAGGTGACCATGGCGGTGGCGGTGGTGGTGGTGGTGTTGGGGGCGGGGGTTGTCGTGTTGGTGGGTGGTCGTGTTGGTGGTGTGGTGGTTGAGTGGACGGGCTGGTTGTGGAATCATGTTGTTTGAGACGCTGGCTATCTTGGTTGACTTGTGCTTGGCAATCCATCCAATCGCCATGGATATGCAAGCACGCACACAAACAGACACATACACACACAAGTACGCACATGCACACATTCCCACACTTGCGTTCGCTCACCCGCTCACGTCCCACGCTCCATATCCCCTATCCTGCATCCTGCGTGCAATAACGCCACGTTGCACAGGGCGATGAGCTGCAGGAACAGATTACAGAGGAGGAGCGCCAGTTGCGGGGATTGCACAAGACGCTGTCCAAGATGACAAAACGCAACACAAAGCTCAAGCACTCTCTCCGCGGTGTGAGCGAGGACACACCCGAGCAGCAGACAAAGGCCCAGCTCGAGAAGAAGGTATGCATGATGTGTGTATGTGTGTGTGTGTATGTGTTTGTGTGTGTGTGTGTTTGTGTATGTTTCTGTGTGTATGTGTTTGTGTCTCTGTGTATGTGTCTGTGTCTGTGTTTGTGTCTGCGTTTGTGTCTGTGTTTGTGTATGCGTTTGTGTCTGTGTGTGTGTGTGTGTGTGCTTGTGTCTGACAATTAGAGTACGCTTGACTCCACCGTTCCTCTCCTTTGCTGGCTCGCATCCACCTCGCGCTGTCTCGATCCAACCTCCCCCCCCCCCCAATGCCCTCCCCTGCAGTACCACACGCTTCTTGAGAAGCACAAGGCGCTCAACCACGAGCGCAACGAGCTTGATGCGGAGCTGCGTGCACTGGAGGAGGCGGATCTCGCTGCCGCCCGCGACGAGCAGCAGCTGCAGTCGCAGGTCGACCGCGCAGCAGCAGAACTCTCCGCTCTCGACTCCGAACTCACAGAGCAGATGGTGCGATGAAGGCACATGGAGTGCTGGTGGTGGTGGTGTGGTTGCAGTTGTGAGTTGTGGGCAGAACGTAAAGGGGCGTGTGTATGTGTTACAGTTGTGAGGTGTGGTTGTGGTTGTGATGCGCTTGTAGCTGTTGGAGTTTGCGAGGTCCGTTGCTGTATTGGAAAAGTCGAGGTGGTGCGGGTCAATATTTGTCACCTGATCGGTGTTGCTTCACATGATCGTTGACGTTGAACAAATGTTTACCGGCAACCCACATCCTTCTCCCTCTATCTCCTCATCATCACACCTCCCCCTCCCCCTTGTTCAACACCTCCTCCTTGCCACCACCATCAGCACAAGCTGCAGCGCGCAACCCGCCAGAGCGAGCAGCTCAAGGCCGAGCACGCGGCACGTGCAAAGGCAGACGGCAACGACGCTGAGCTGGCGCACAAGGACTTCCAGCTGCGGCAGCTGCGAGACACCATCGGCCGCATGATGCGTGGGATTGACGGTGTTGTGCGCAACAATGCCGACGTTGCTGTGCAGCTGCAGATGCTCTATGACCAGCACGGCATCAAGGCGCCCACACACAGCGTCCCCGGCAGCAGATACGGGGTAAGGACTGTGTTTGTTTATGCTTGTTTATGTTTGCGTGCGCGCGTGTGTGTGTGTGTGTTTGTTTCTTTGTATGTATGTTTGTTTGTTTGTTTGTTTGTTTGTTTGTTTGTTTGTTTGTTTGTTTGTTTGTTTGTTTGTTTGTTTGTTTGTTTTGTTTTGTTTTGCTTGCTTGCTTGCTCGCTTGCTTGCTCATGTGTGCTGGGTTATCGCCTCGCAAGCGTGATTCTCGTCTCACCTCACCCCCCCCCCACACACACACCACCACCACCACTCCCTCACCACGATGACGTGTGTACAGAGCTCGCGCGGCAGCAGCGTTGCGTCGACGCGCAGCACACGCAGGACGACCCAGCGCACGCTCCCGCCCACGGCCAACGACGTCGTCGCCAAGTACACATCGCAGCGCCCCGTCTCAACCACCACCTTTGAGGTGAGCCACAGCACACACACACACACACACACATTGCGCGTGCACACACACACAATCACAATACCACGCACGACTCGTGTTCATCCACGTGCGTATGCGTTGCATGTGTACAGTTTGGGCTGCCGACGCGGCCCGAGTCTGGGCGGAGCGGGCTCACCACCCGCCCGACAACCCGCTCAACCGCTGCCCGCACACGCGGCACACGCAAGTCGACAACCGTGACAGCAGGGCGCACCTCCGCTGGCCCGCGGGGCACACGGACAACAGCGAGTGCCGGCGGGCTCGGTGGCCTGAGCGTGTCTGGGTCACGGCCCCTCTCTGCGCGAAGCTCTGCGTCCACACGACGCAGCGCGGCATCAACGAGCGGTGCACGTGGCGCCGCACGCAGGGGCAGGCCCACCTACGGCTGATGCGGCCTGGATCTATGTGTGATTGTGATTGTGATTGTGTGTGTGTGTGTATGCGTGTGTGTACATGCGTGTGTGTACATGCACATGCGTGTTTGTGTGTGTGAAATCTGATGCAGTCTCGTTCTGTCAGGGAATCAGCTTGCCTGTCTGAGTTTCCACCTACACTACCTCCCCAAATGCTGGCTGTGTATTTCTTGCAACCCCCCCCCCTCCTCCCACAACCCCTGTGCATGTTTGATCGCCCGTCATTTTGGCCTGCGTGCTGCTTATTCCTGTCGTTTATTCCTTCCTCTTGGCTGGTTTCCATGCTCTCACGCCCCTCAGTAGTCATCCCCAGCAACAAGGCAGTAGAACCCAGTGTAACGAGTGGCGGTTGTCGCAACACGGAAGAACAAAACCATGGTGACACCCCACCAGGACGATAAATCTCACAGACTCATGCACACATACGGTCACGTGCATGATTTGAGCACAACCATGCTCTTGTCCCCAGTGTCCGTTTTGTCAAGCAGGTCATGAGAGCGGCAGGCGCCTGCCGTGGCCCGGGCGGTAGACTTTGCGCATAGCGTCAAGACCAACGAGGGTTGCGTACCCGACAACGGCCGTGCTGAGCGAGGCGACGTGCAGCAGCGTTCGGTTTGCTACGCTGGTCCAGTACTTCTTGGAGAGCAAGGTGATGACGATGTGGTCGTGCAGCGGTGTGGGCGTCAGCTGTAAGCGCGTGCGGCACACGGGGCAGCAGTGCGCCATGGCCTGCCCGCTGTCGTACCATGCCTGCATGCAATCCCAGTGACACACGTGGGAATCGCTGACGGGACAGAACGAGAACACGCGGCGTGTCCGCGTTACTTCCCGGCAGATGCTGCACATTGGCCCATCTCGCATGCCGGCGCCATCCATATCATCAACACGGTTAACGCCAGCGTCACCGTCATTGCCATCGTCATCATCATCATTAGCGTCATCATCATCATTAGCGTCATCATCGCCGCCACGACAGTTATTCCCATTGTCAGCAACATCGTCAGCATCATTGTCACGATCATCGTGACTAGCTCTGTGTGCAACAGTGCCACCGTCACCAGCGGCGATGCTCCTGCCTGCGCTATAACTCACAGTCGTCGTGAGGGTGCTGTCACGACGGCCGTCACTATCTTGTACTGGTGGCGATGGGATGGTGGGTGTGTCCAGCAACAGCATTCTGTCATCCTCCCCAACAGGCTCCTCCCGAATATGCGCACGCCGCCGCCCCATTCTTCTTCTTGTTCTTCTTCTTGTTCTTCTTCTTGTTCTTCTGCTCACTGGCCCGCCCCGCCTGCCCGCTCCATCTTCGTCAGCAGCATCGCTGTACAGATCATCAGCATCGCTGCTGCTGTCGCTGCTACGGACGCTCTCAACATCATCATCATCAACATCATCAACATCATCAACATCAACATCATCATCGTCATCGTCAACATCATCATGAAGGTAATCTGTCCCGCTCTGCCCAAGCTCACGGTGTGGATAGGCCGCTAGGCTGTGGCCAGGCTGCAGCGAAGGCGAGACGAGTGGATATGGGGGTGCCTCTGTGCCGTCCCCTGGTGCTGCCGTCCACGATGCAGCTGCATGTGCGAGGGACGATGCCGGGCGTGGATATGGCGACGGTGAAGTCGACAACAGATCGCGGCGTTGGTGTTGCTGGTGGCCGTGCTTCTGCCGCCGTTGCCGCCGCCGCCGTTGGTGCGGGCGGTGTTGTTGTGGTGCGTCTGAAGGCTGTCGCTCTTGCTGCGGGTGCTGCCAGGGGCGGCCGATGAGGTTTCGTTTTGCGTTCATCAAGAGGTGGACGGCCATGAATAGGGCCTCGTCGAAGGAGACGACGGCCAGCGCGGCCACCAGCGCCACGATGCGTGGGTTGTATCTGCGCAGCAGCATGACGATGCGCTTCAGCACGCTGCGGGCGTTGGTGGACGTGAGCACCAACCGCGAAGACACGTACCATAGCACAAAGTGGGCCGTCTTGAGGAACTTGCGGGCTTCTGGCCGCAGGTGCAGCTGGAAGAACGGCGATGCGTTGACGACATTCTCCCGCAAGTGATGACCTTTGATGTAGCTCGCAATCGCCCAGCCTGTTCGTTGTGAGAGGAGGTTTGGGGTGGGGAGGGATCGTATCCAGCAGATGAAGTTGAGCACACCGGGCAGACAAAACCAGACTGACGCACAACACAAAATGCTGCAGCAAACACACACACACACAGACACACACACACAGACACACACACACACAGACACACACACACAGACACACACACAGACACACACAGACACACACACAGACACACACACAGACACACACACACAGACACACACAGACACACACAACACACAACACACAACACACAACACACAACACACACAAACAAACACACACACACACACACACCGGCGAGGACGAGGCGGACGGCGTGGAAGGTTTGCCAGTCGCGACCAGACAACAGCAGCGGCGGCCGCGCTGGCGTGAAGGGCCTGAGCGGAAACGTAGTCGCCAACACTGCACCCATATCCGCTCACACACAAGCAGTTCCCGTGTTTAAAATAACATCGAATCACCCGCACCATAAAGTTTTTACTTTTGTTTGCTCTGCTGTTTTGGAGGAAGAAGGATATGGCGGACGTGCGACAGAGGAAGAAGAAGGCTGTGACGGCCACTGCGCAAGGTGGCAGTGACAAGAAGCAGAGTCAGAAGAAGGCTGCCAAGCAGGCTGGCGGTGGCGGTGTAGGGGCAGCAAAGCTGGTGTCCATTGCATTGGCTTTGGTGCTGTTGGGTGCACTGGCATTTGTGGTGCTGTCTCCAACGACAACGACTCCACCACCATCAACAACACCATCGACAGCACCACCCAAACCGCAGCAGCAGCAGCAGCAGCAGCAGCAACCAGCAGGAGCGCATGAGGAGCCCGCGGCAACACCGGAGCCGGCATCCGAGACCCAGAAGGGCAGCGATGGTGGTGAAGAAGATGCGTTGTCGTTTGTGCAGCGTATGAAGGTGGCAACGTCCAAGAAAGTGGCGGAGGAACTGCAGCAGCCAGACGACAACCAAGAAGAGCAGGACGTGAAGGAGCAGGGCAAGCAGCCAGCCTCTTCCCCTCACGACCCAGCCGTTCCCTTTGCTGCTCATCCTCAGGTAATACACAACGTGTATGCATATGTGTGTGTGCGTTGTGAGGGCGATCGGGGTGTTTGCGCTGTTGTGTGCATTTGCACGAGGCAGGAGCTGCGCTCACACTGGACGCTGTTGGTTGATTGGTTCACGCTGTGGTTGGCAGATTGAGTTTGACATTGAAGGCCCAAACGACCACGGTAGGGATGGGATCACGTGTGGAGCACACGATCGTGTGATGTTGCTTGTTGTGTTTTCGCTCGCTGTTCCATTGTGGTCGCTGGACTGATGGTGCCCTTTTTCGGCTTGGTTGCAGCTGTTCCCGGTGCTCTGTCCAAGGTCATTTCCCCGTTGTCGCTGGTGAACCTCTTCTACACATACACGGACGAGCACCCGTTTCACATCAAGCGCGTTGACGACTACTACGCGGGGCTCAACTCCAACCTCTCCCACATTGACCTTCTCCTGCGTTAGTGTGTGTGTGTGAGTGTGTGTGCATGTGTGTGTGTGAGTGTCTGACTGTCTCGTTGTGTGTTTCGTTTGCCTGCCTGCGTGCATGCCTGCTTGCCCTGTGCTTCCTGTCTCAGCAAGCTCACTTTTGGTCGACTGCAATGCCACAGAGATTCATGCCGCCACCGCGCACGATGAAGAGCTGCTTTCTCCCGAGACAAATAAGACCCAGGCAAACTGCGCTTTCGTACGTCCCCTCTGTCTGTGTGTGTCTGTGTGTGTGTGTGTGTGTCTGTCTGTGTGTCTGTCTGTGTCTGTGTCTGTGTCTGTGTGTCTGTGTGTGTCTGTGTGTGTGTGTGTGTGTCTTGAGGTATTGTCAATCTCGTGGAGCCTGCCTGTTTCTCTCCCTTTCCAACGACATCGGCTTCGCTTCCTGTTCTTCCCAAGCAACCATCCAATATGTGACGCACGCACACGGCTGGCGCGTTGCTGTTTCCTGCGCACGCCTTCAGGTGAAGCACGGCATGGGCAGCCTGAACGACAAATACCCCGATGCGTACCACGCGTACTTGGACGGATGCACCATCGTCTGCAACATCGTCCCCGCTTACTGGCAGCCACTCGCAGGGTGAGTGTGGCGTGGGGTCGTGCAATTCATCGTGTTTGCACGCATGCGAGCGCGGGAGTGAGTGCATGCCTGCAAATGCCACGACACATGCGTGGATACAGCTTCTTCTCCCATCATTCACACATGTGCCTGTGCTGATGGCTTGCTGGTGTTGCTTCAGGCTCATGCATGGTGTGCAGCAAGAGACTGGGCTTGCGTACATGGCCAATATGTATCTCACCCCGCGCGCCAGCCAGGGATTTGTCGAGCACACTGACAACAAGGTGTGTGCGTGTGCGTGTGTGTGTGTGTGTGCGTGTGTGTGTTTGGTGTGAACATGTGTGTGTGTGTGAAACTTGTGTGTGTGTGAAACTTGTGTGTGTGCGTGCGTGTGTTTGGTGTGAACAGGTGTGTGTGTGTGTGTGTGTGTGTGTGTGTGAAACATGTGTGTGTGTGAAACATGTGTGTGTGACATGTACTTGTGTGACATGTACTTGTGTGACATGCAAGTGGAGCCTTTTCTGAGAAGAGAGAGTCCTTGTTTTGCACTCTTCGCGCTCACAAGCACCCGCAATGCACGCACGCACCCGCACATGTCCATGTTCATCGCCCTGCAGGATGGCCTTATTGTGCAGACGGATGGGCGGAAGGAGTGGGTGCTGAAGAACACCAAGTTCCCGATGCCTTTGCGTCACCAGGTCATTGTTGACAGCATGCTTGCTTGCAAGCAATGCCTCTGTTTGGTTGAGCCCGTGGTCTCGTGGAGTGGCAGGCTAGGCGACATACACTTGCAACTCGCCCCAGCACACTTGCGCAATCACGGCATTCGCTCGCCCACTCACGCGCTAGGCTGTGCACATGCATGTGTTGCGTGGGAGCAGATGGTTGGTCGACCGTGGGAGCGGCCTGCGAGCACGGTTGCGGCGGACACGGCGGCGGAGCCCCTGCTGACGGCCGGGGATGTCCTGTTCATTCCGCGTGGCATGCCCCACTACGCAAAGAGCGCGGGCGACTATCCTTCCCTCCATTTCACCGTCTCTCCGGTTCGTGGTGGCTGTGTGTGTGTGTGTGAGTGGGGGGGGGATGGTGCATGTTCGTACCTTCCGTCTCATTTGATCATCATCATCATCATCATCATCATCACCATTCATCATCTTCACCAACCACAATGGGTAGACAAAGAACCTGGAGTGGGTTGACTTCTATCGCGATATTGCTGACGTCAGCAAACCATTTGTTGCCGCTCGCGTGGAGACCTTGCTTGGCGACGACGCCCCATCCGTCCAAGGTGAGAATGTTGAATTGGTCGCTGACGCTTCCTGCTGCTGCTGCTGCTGCTGCTGCTGCTGCTGCTGCTGCTGCTGCTGCTGTTGTTGTTGTTGTTGTTGTTGTTGTTGTTGCTGTTGTTGTTGTTGTTGTTGTTGTTGTTGTTGTTGTTGTTGTTGCTGCTGCTGGCCATGTGTTTGTGGTGGTGTGGCTCACTGTTAAATACACACGCGCGCGCATTACACGCACACACATGCGCACTGCCTCAACTGCATGTGCAGAGATGCTTCAGTGCATGGGTGCGCTTGCAGATGCGACGACAGCGGCGGTGGCGGCGGCGGCAGAGGAACCGCTCCATTACGAACTGCGTCGCTCCCTTCCTTGGTGGTACAGGTCAGTTCCTGCTGCGGCGCTGCGGTCTGTGTGTATGTGTGTGTATATGTGTGTGTATAGAGAACGCTGGTGCTTCCTGCCACACGAGATAAACACACATGCATACGCAAACTCATGAAACCTTACAACAACCCGCATTCCCTCCCCACACACACACACGCACGCACACACTAGAGCGCTCGCGGGCGTGACTGTGCCCTCTGTTCACTCTGCCATCGGTTACACCGTCAAGCAGTGCAAGGACAGGCTCGCCCAGCAAGGTTTGTGCTGGCGAGTTGATGACTGTGATTGGGGCTGCGCAAAGTGAAAACCAAGTGTGTGTGTATATGTGTGTATATGTGTGTATGTGTGTGTATGTGTGTGCGTCTGTGCGTGCGTGTGCCTTTGCTGAAGCCACCATACGTTCCCACAGCAACAAGTTACGCGTGCAGACACGCTTGCATGTGCAGCAACAAACTTTCCTCGCCCTCACTGCTGCTGCTGCTCACGCTCTGCTTGCGATTTCTCCTTGTGCCAACATGATGCCACTCCCTGTTTCACCCCGCGTTTCTCTTGCGTGGCAGTAGAAGCTGATGCTGAGCGCGTTGCTGCGGTGTCTGCGCTTGTGGACAAGCTGGCCAAGGGCGTGACAATGCCCAAAGTCTTTGATCTCCTCAACCTCTGTCGCCCGCGCACACCGGCCGTCCCCATTGCCTCCGTTTCCCAATGTGACGCTGTACGTTTTGTGTGTGTGTGTGTGTGTTCGTGTGTGTGGTGTGTGTGTGTGTGTGTGTGTGTGTGTGTGTGTGTGTGTGTGTGTGTGTGTGTGTGTGTGTGTGTGTGTGTGTGTGTGTGTGTGTGTGCGTGTGTGTGCGTGTGTGTGTGTGTGTGCGTGTGTGTGTGCGGGGAAGGGGTCTGTTCAAAAGACACTGGCACGTGCTTCCTTCACTATCATGTGCTGTCGCTTCATCAAATGTGCGTGCCGCGTACGCACGCCGTTTTCACACACAGGCACACTCACACACTCACTTATCGGTGTGCAGGTGTCTGGGAAGCTGCGGGCGAAAGGCATTGCGTTCCTTGATGATCTTCTCGGCGACGTGATGGAGGACCACGAGCTGCTGAAGACGGTCCTGCCCAACGCTCTCAAGCGAAACTCCGTCTTTGTCGACTACACGGCAAAGCTTCACGCAAAGGGGCTTGAAATCGGTGCGTTGTGTATGAAGGCATGTGTGTGTGTGTGTGTGTGCGTGTGTGTGTGTGTGTGTGTGTGTGTGTGTGGGTGTGGGTGGGTGTGGGTGTGTGTGTGGGTGTGGGTTTGTGTGTGTGGTGTGTGTGTGTGTGTGTGTGGGTTGTGTGTGTGTGTGTGTTGTGTCGCCTGCATTGCGCTGTTTGCATCCCGGAGAGGCGCACCGCCCGTTGGTGGTGCCCACCAAAGCATGAGCTTTGACCACCCACCACACGCACACACGCACACACGCACACACAATTACGTACAACCACACGCGCGCAACATGCCTCACTGCCCATGCGTGCATGTTGTTCTCTGCAGACCCAGCGTCGTTTAGTGCAGTGGCACTGCACCCAACCACATCTGTGGCCTTTACAGCAACGCCGTGGTCCTTCCAAGTGAACAAGTCCTCCATCACCATTACCGCAGGCGCTGAAGCTGCCTCCCAGCCGCAGGTGCGTGTGCTGAGCAAGGAAACGGTGGTTCAGAGGGCGCGCACAGTGGAGTGGCGTGTGAATGGCTTCAGACCATGAAGCAGAGGGAGGAGGGTGGGTGGACTGAACTGGCGAGCACCAACCGGCCAGCGAGAACGGCGGAAAATTATAGCACGCAGCAGCTCGGGGCATTGGATCATGGTGTCTTTGTCAACGCTCACACACACACACGCACACACACACACACGCACACACACACACACGCACACACACACACACACACACAAACACGCAGAGGGTGGAGTTCCGCCACACGCCGCAGCTGGAGCAACTGCTGAAGCGTGTGCAGGGACTCCAGGACGGCGACGGCGCCTCGTTCCAGCTGCATGAGCTCGCCACCGCCGTGTCCCCACGTGACGACTTTGAGGTCGCCTGCCTGGTCAGGGTCCTCGCTCGCCTGAACGTGCTCGAGCCGGCAGCGGCCAACAAACAGCACGCAGCCGATGGCGACCACGGTGAAGCATCCGTGCCCGAGCAATACGAACACCTCATCACCGACACGCCCGCACCGCCGCCTGTCACAGACACGCAGCAGCAGCAGCAGCAGGAGGAGAAGAAGAAGGAGGAGGAGGAGGAGGAGGAAGGTGACGAGGTGGAGATTGTGACAGACGATGATGGGAGGGCAGACGAAAACTCGGAGCCGAAAAAGGACTAGAAGATGATGAAGTGTGTGTGTGTGTGTGTGTGGCATGTGAAGGTGATGGCTTGTGCTTGCGGTTGTGCCTGGAATGCTGTTCAGTTTTGTCGGTTTATTGAAGAACATACATACTGGCATTCGAGCAAGTCAGAACCAGTGATGGCCCCAAGTAAAAAGCACGCACGCAAATACACGCATGTAGAAATCACTTCGTATACAGCACGGCAAATAGGGCGAGTAGAAAAGCGCAGTTATGCGCGTCAGCGATTGCGCCTGTTATTGACCCAGGTCGCCACCTGCTTTGGCTTCAAGTTGCAGATGTGCGCAAGCCGCACCTTCTCCTCCTCAGACAAATATGCACGGCCGTTCTTGTCCATGTTCGCTTCATACCAAGCATTCAGAATAGCTCGTGTTCGTGCCGAGTGCCTTCCAGGACGATTCTCTTCTTGCTTTTGCCGAGACTGATACCTCTCTTGTTCCTCAACATACACGCAAGCCTCTGTCAGCAAGTCCAGCCCATTCAGAGGTCGCTTCTTCTGCTTCTTGCTCTTGCTTGGTGACTTGTCAACTTTTTTCTTGTCCTTCTTGTCCTTGTCCTTCTTCTTCTTGTCGCCGGGCATGGTGCTCGTTTGTTTGTCAGCAGGAGTGGGATGTCAGTGTTGTGGGGAGAAAGGGGCGAGGGTAAATGAAGCTTTTGGGGATCATGGTGCATCATCAATTGTGTTGCGAGAGTTGCGGTTTCCCTTGTTTAGTGGTTTTGCCAAGTCGCGAACCATCACTCCTTCAACCCACAAGCGAAATTTGATCGGTTGCATTCCAGAATTTCTATGATGACATCACCGGTAGGATTGCTCGTGACAATTCCGCACCAGAACAAAGGAGTTAAACTCCACTCCAGACGCACGGACACACACACACCAACTGCACACGCAAATGCACACGCAACAGCACACACACACACACACACACACACCAACGGCAACACGGAACCGACACAACGGGCACCGTCGCGCGCACCCCTGCCGTCAGGTCAGTACCTGCCCCTCACGTCCCTGGAGCTGTCTGTGCGCCTCATCTTTGGGGGCAGCTCGCCGTCGCGGCCCGCGCTCGATCGCCTGTAGGAGCCGTCTGCGGTGCTGGGGCGGCGGCGGTCGTAACCGCGGTCCATGCTGCGGCGATCCGCGCTTCGGCGCCGATCCACGCTGCCGCTGCTGCGGTCCCGGCCGCGGCTGCTGCGCTCATAACCGCCGCGGCCGCGATCGCGATCCCTGCTCCTGCTGCGGTGCTCTGGGCCGTGGCCGCCACGCCCGCGCCCGAAGCCGCGCCCACCACGAGACCCGCCGCGAGGGGCACCACGAGGCCCACCGCGGCCGCCACCTCGGCCGCCACCTCGGCCGCGGCCACCTCCTCGGCCCCTGCCGCGCCCACGGCCGCGCGGGCGCTCGGAGAAGCCCCTGTTCTGCTCTCTGGTCTCCATGGCGCGCTGCTGGAGCGCTGCTGGCAGGGGAACGGCACGCTGCATGCGCCGACCATCATCACTGCACAGAGGAGAGGACAAGGTGGGGGAGAGGGAGAGGAGGGCACGGTTAAGGGTGTGTTGTCTTGTTGCAGCAGCAACCACAACAATGCATGCACATGCACGAACACGCACACGATTGTTCAAAGCAACACACACGTACACATGTACACACGCACAACAACAACAACAACAACAACAACAACAACAACAACAACAACAACTTAAACAACAACAACTTAAACAACAACAACTTAAACAACAACTTCAACAACAACTTAAACAACAACAACTTAAACAACAACAACTTAAACAACAACAACAACAACAACAACAACAACAACAACAACAACAACAACAACAACTTAAACAACAACAACAACAACAACAACAACAACAACACACCTGAGGCGGATGAGACGGGAGGTGCGCAGGGCAGCCAAAAAGGTGTCCATGCTGGTGGTCTTTGCCTGCACTTTTGGAAAGTCGAAGATGACGCCGACATCGAGCCAGTCATTGCCGAGCCGCAGCTTGTCCTGCAGGAACTTGTCCTGAGGCAGGTTCTCGTCGCCAAAGTAGAACTCAACCTGCTTCACAATGGCCGCATCGCGTTCCTGTGGCGTGGCAAACCGCTCGGGCTCTGGCGGGCGGCGTCCACGGCCCCCACCGCGTCCACCACCACGGCCACCCCGACCACCACCACCCCGATCGCCGCCTCTGCCGCCCCTGCCGCCACTGCGACACGGCCGCGACCACGACCGCCAAAAGTCACCGCCTCGGCCCCGGCTCATGGGACCGCCACGGCCACGCCCACGCCCGCGCCCGCGCCCACGGCCACGATCACGATCACGGTCGCCACCAAACCCACGGCCGCGACCACGGCCTCTTCCCCGGCCGCGACCGCCGCGACCGCCGCCGCCTCGGGTGCGGCCAAGGAGTATCTTCTCCCTGCGGGCCCTGCGCATGGCGCGCATCTCCTCCTGCTCCTTCTCGTACTGCTCAATGAGCTCCTTGTGCTGCTCGGTAAAGTGCTGGTAGCTCTGGCCAACGGCGGGCTTGATGTCCTCGTTGGGGAGGCACGTCACCTCCAGGAAGCCCTCGGAGGCGTCTGGCGGGATGAAGTTCTTCATCATGTGCAGCACGGCCGCCTTTGGAATGAGCTTGCCTGCGTTTTCCTTGGCCTGCAGCGTGCCTGCAATGTCCTCGGCGGTGCGCAGAAACAGCATGGCGCGGATCTTGAAGGGAATCTCCGAGTCCTTGAAGGGCTGCATCTTGCGCTGCCGGGCAAAGCGGGAGGTGTTGGTCTGGTCCACAATGAAGAACCGCCGCTCCTGCGCGGCAAGCGGAATCAGGTGCCTGGTGGTGCGCATGCACAAGGCAAGTCCAGAAAAGGAGCATCGCAGGAGCATCGCAGGTTGTTGTGTGGCGTGCGAGCATCAGTTAAGCGTGAGGGCAGCAGGGTGTGAGTCGGTTGGTGGGTGAGCAGCAGCACAGTAACAAAGAGGGGATGCAAGAAGCAGGCACATTGCGAGCACGGCAGCGTGTAAGCAGCACAAGCGCATCGTGTTGGGGCGGAAGGAAAGCCGTGAGCAACATGCACAATGAAGGGAACAAAAGGGTGCCAATGACGACGTCATCAAAACACAACAGGGTGCACGTTCACAGTCGTGAAGATGGGCGTTTGTTCAAGTCCGAAGAATCCAAGTAGTCCCATACATGCATATGTGCGTGTATGTGTGCGTGTGTGCGTGTGTGCGTGTGTGTGTGTGTGTGTGTGTGTGTGTGTGTGCATGAAGGGAGCGAGTGAGTTGCTGAACCAATGAAAGGAGAACAATGGCGTGTCCAAGCTGCAGTCTGGGTAGGTTGGTTGCCCGAAGAACAAAACAAAAACAAAACACAAAAGCGCATTCATCGCTGCGGTGGGAACAGAGGAGGGTTTGTTTCAATCACGCGTGGGTGCCATTTAGCACAGGATTGAAAAGTGATTGCACCAGCGCATTGGCCAGTCTGACATTGTTGGCAAGACCGACCTGAACATGGCGCTGGAGGTGCGGCAGTAGCGAAGCCAGGACTCGCGGTAGTTGTACTCGGGCAAGTCTGGGTCATTGTGGGCAAGCTCTTGGATGATGGCCTCTGTGCTCAACACGTAAAACTATCAAGCAAGCAAAGGCACGGGCGTACAGATTGAGGCAAGAGGTGCGACGTGAGCGATGCAAGCGCAACTTAAACAACTTCAACAACAACAACTTAAACAATAACAACAACAACTTAAACAACAACTTAAACAACAACTTAAACAACAACTTAAACAACAAATTAAACAACAACAACAACTTAAACAACAGCACACAGCGCCCGTACGTTGTCTGTGCCGGTGCTCTGCTGTGCCTGGAGAAAGCTGCTCAGCCACTCCGTCTTGCCTGAGCCGGGCAGGCCAACGAGGAAGCCGACAGACGGGTCTGGGTGGTTGACTTCGTTGATGGCCTGGGATTGGAACGTGAGGGCGCGGGTGTGCGCATCGACCGTTCGGGATGGCCCTGTACGAGCACGCGACAGTTGCGCAGGGCAACGTGCCCAAAGACGGCTGCGGGCACGGTGCTGGCGTCAAGCTGGTACGCCACCCCTTGAAAGTCGCCGTTCTTGTAAAAGGAGATGACGAGGAGTGGCGGCTGGCCCTCGCGGTTGACGCTGGGCACGAGCGGGCACGTGGTCGTCACCACATCCAGGCGACACTCAATCTCGTCGTTGGTATGGTACGGCGTCCCGTACTTGACTCGCTCTCCATTGTGAATCTACAAGTCAGCGGCCACAGCACACGAACCAAAACAATGCGTTTGTGTTTTGAAAAACAATACACGAGCGAGGTGGGCAGGATGAGCAGCACGCGAATGAGAGCAATGGATGGATGGATGGATGGATGGATTAATGGATGCAGGAGGGAAGGAAGGGATGCGGACACAGGGAAGAGGAGCCATCACAAATACACGTACAAAAATGCGTGCAAGCAGGCCACGCGAAATATGTGGGCAGGGCAGAAAACGCAGGCAGGTGACGCAGAGTGTGTGGAGTGCAATGCTGATGATTGCAGTGGTCGTGGACGTCACCTTCGAGCCGCTGCTGCAGTATGCCCAGCCAAAGGTGTCGTCGCCTGAACAAATGATAGGTGGTGAGTGGACGACGAGCAAGCGAGTGTGGAGCAGCTCAGCAAACCCTTGCGGTTGTTGCAACACGTGCACATGGTTGTGCTGTACACGATTTGAGAATGCACAATACACGACGTCTGCACGAGCCTGTAAAGAGCGCGGTAGCAGCAGCACACCAAGCACAAAGACACCCCCCCCCCCTGTCCGGTTGTAAACGACATACCAACAAGGAGGTTTGCGCGCTCGAAGCTGAGGCCCACGCGCACGTCCACAGGGCCAGCCTTGACGGAGTTTGCAGGCAGGTCTTTGACAAGCGTCTTGTAGTGGTAACGCGTACCGCCACCAAAGATGCCCAGGGAGAGGCGGGCCCCGGTCCACAGCCAGCGGAATCCGCGGCCAGGGATGGGCTCCACAAACTTGCCTGCAAACGCAAGGAGCAACATCAAACAAAAACACACAACAAAAGCGACAGGGATGCAAAGGCAGGGCAGGGAGCAGTGTGGCAGATGAGAGGTGCGCCACGAAGCAACGCAGGAATGGGAAAGGAAAGGGAGGGAAAGACTCTGGGAAATGCTTGTCGTTGAAGAAGAACGAGGATTGCAGACAAAGGAGGAGAAGGGGAACAACAACAACTTAAACAACAACAACAACAACAACAACAACAACAACAACAACAACAACAACAACAACAACAACAACAACAACAACAACAACAACAACAACTTCAACAACAACAACAACAACAACAACAACAACAACAACAACAACAACAACAACAACAACTTAAACAACAACAACAACTTAAACAACAACAACAACAACAACAACAACAACTTAAACAACAACAACTTAAACAACAACAACAACAACTTAAACAACAACAACTTAAACAACAACAACAACTTAAACAACAACAACTTAAACAACAACAACAACAACAACAACAACAACAACAACAACTTAAACAACAACAACAACAACTTAAACAACAACAACTTAAACAACACCATCACCATCATCACATACACTTCTCTTGCGCGCTTCGCACCTTTAGAAGATTCGTGGTTGCCGATGAAAGCATGAAGGTGCTTGTGTGTTGGGCTGAACTTGGCCCACGTGTCTGGCAAGTTGATCGGCTCTGGATCGCGCATGGGCTTCCCTTTCCGCTGTGGAATCTGGTCGCTCTTGTGGTCATCGCCTCCGCGGGGCGCAGAGGCGGCTGGACAGAAGGTCAGAAAGAGGGTGCGTGCGCGTGTGTGTGTGTGTGAGTGTGTGTGTGTGTGAGTGAGTGAGTGAGTGAGTGAGTGTGTGAGTGTGTGTGTGTGTGTGCTTGCGTGAGTATGGCTGTAGCCGTGGCAGAAGTACACGCATGCCGAAACGGCACAAGCAGCATGGAAATCCACGCATTACAGCAGCACCTACAACAACCAGCGCGTGTACGCAAGCAGTGACATCACATCGTGCTCGGCAAGCGCACGCAAGAGCTGGGTCACCCATCGGCACAATACACTGCACACCAACTTGTAATCATAACAGCAGACAAAACGGCCTGCGCCACTCACGTGCGCCCATTGCACCACCACGACCGCGACCACGACCGCGACCACGGGCGGCGCTGCCGCCACTGCCGCCTTCTTGGCCCAGGATGGCCTTGAGGCGGTCGGGATGGATGCCCTCCAGCTGCGCACTGACATCCTCCACTTCCTCCTTCTTCACGTCCGCCGCTGTCTCTGTCGGTGCTGATGTTGGTGCTGGTGGTGCTGACGATGATGGCAGTGGTGGTGGTGGTGGTGCTGCTGCTGCACTCTCAGCGCCGCTCGCTGTGGTGGGAGGAGCTGGTGGGGCTGCATGAGCCAGTGGCTGTTCCTGTGGCTGCTGCTGCTGCTGCTGCTGCTTTGTGGGCGCTGGTGCCGTAACATTCGTTGGTGCCGTAACATTCGTTGGTGCCGTTACATTCGCGTCAACAGGCGCTTCTTGGCCAGCAGGAGCAGCCCTGGTTGTGGATGCAGCGTCGGGCACCTTGGCTTGCTCTGCTTGCGCCGGTGGTGGCAGTGGCGGTGAAGGTTCTTGATTCTGCGTTGCCGCTGGTACCTGCGCAACGACAGGGGCAGCTCCATTGCCGTTTGTGGAGCCAGGCGCTGCCTCAGTTGTGGGCGGCTTGTTTGCCGGGGCTGCATCCCTGCTGGCCATCGCTTCCGGTGCAGCGGCCGTGGAAGCAGTTGGCTGCTCCTGCACTGGCGGGGCCTGCGTTGCTGGTGCACCCGCCACCGTCGTCGTCGTTGTTGCTGTTGTGGCAGGCTCGGCAGGGGCTGTTGCAGCGACTTCTGTGGTGGTGGTGGTGGTGGTTGTGGAAACTTGCGCTGTTGTCGTCTCCGCAACTGTGGTGGCCGCAGTGGCTGCTTCCTGGCTCACCACCGTTTCCGTCGTGGCGGTGGTGGTGGCGGTGGTGGCTGTTGCTGAAGCAGCCACATCTACAGCGCCTGTGCAGTAGCAGGGGTGTTGCAGGTGAGCGAGTGCACAGTGTACGCAGCAACAATGTCACGCACCGCACACGCACACGCACACAACCACGCAAATCACACAGGAAGTCACCACATGCGGCACACCAATGCAAGCGCTTTGTGCCTCACCAGGCTCATCTTCCTGTTCCAGGCGTGGGCGCTTTGCTTGGTGCTCTTGTTCATCCGCCATGGCGACGACACAAGACGAGGAAGAGGAGACACCGGCGAGATATGAAGCACTTCGGGCAAAAGCGCGCCAAAACACAAAGACCTGGTTTGCGTGCACGAGGTGAATGCTCGCGCTTTCACGGCACAAACAACAGCCACACGATCACGTGTGCGCGAGCTTGTTGATCACCACGGTAGCTCCAAGTCATGCATGCGTGCTTGCAAAAGGCACCTTGGCGCCACATCCACCCATAAGTTTACACACACACGCACACACACACGCACACACGCACACACGCACACACACACACGCAAACACATGCACACAAATCAGAACCGCGCCATAACCGCCAAACCCATTTGTCATCTCCCCCCTCACACAATCCCTCTCCAGCACCATGTCATCACACATCACTCCATGTCACATCCCTCCACGCGCTTGCCAACACAACACACCTTGTCAGGTCCGACGCGGGCTCCTTGGTGGTGGCACTTTTGTTCGCAACACCCGATGCAAAACAGCAAAGTCGCGGAAGGATGATGGACCGTCAGCAGTGCAGTGCAGTGCAAGCAGTGCAGTGTTTGTGTTGTTTGTTTTCTGCTGCTGGGACGTGCTTGTTCCCGCCACAACTGCCCGTCAGCGACGATTGTTTGAAATCTTCCGATAATCGCCTGCAGCCATCAGTCAACAAATCAGAAGACATCATAAAGCGTAGCACCACAGCTCAGCTTGGCAGCGGTGGGAAAGACAGCGAGGCAAAACAGGAGGTGTGTGTGGAGGAGTGTGCGGTTCCCTGGTGGTGGCCAGTGCTGGCTGCTGACGTGCGTGCCTTGTTGTGGTCTGCTCTGCTCTCTCCAATGTTCTGCTTTGTGGGGGGGGGGGCTGCCTTGTTCCCCTGGTGCTGAGTAAGCGGTGCGAGAGAGAGAGAGAGAGAGAGAGTCTCACGTCACGTCTTCATCACTGTGTTCAATTTGCAGAGTGTAGTGCTTGTGTGGGCGGGAACTGAAACGCGGAGAACGGGAAGTGCTGCTGTTGTCTTTCGACCAAGCACCATGGAGGAGATCTATGGAAACGTCGAGACCCTGCGGCATGCATGGCACTACCGCAACCTCACCAGGTGACCCGAGATAGCGATGCGTTGACCGATGTGTCGAGAGAGCACCGTGGCTGTTCGCGCTGTCGTGTGTGTGTGTGTGTGTGTGTTTTTGTTTTTTTTGCCTTGCCTGTCGCAGAGTGCACTCGCTGCCCGGTGCATGCTTGAATGAGCGAATGAATGCATGCTTTTGTTGAGTGTCGTTGCTTCTTTGCTGTGTTTGCTGCTGTCGCTTTGGTGCAACGGCAAATGCAAACTGACCGACTCCCGCCCCTGCCACTTGCACCAGACAACAAGCGGAGGAGCTGCTGTGTCAGCAGAGCTGTCCAGGATCGTACCTCGTGCGCGAGAGCTCCAGCGGCAGCAACACCGTGCTTTGTGTCATGTACGTCACCGATCATTTGCAGCCTGCTCCCATTGTATGTCGGTGGTGTTAGCCGTGTCACTTGGGCAAGCGCCAGCAATGCAACTAGTGCGCGTCCAGCCTCTCATCTCCTTGCTGCCCGTTGCTGCGTTTGGGTCTGTGGTAAACAGCGATGAAGCAGGGCTTGTGGTGCACTACCTCATCTCCCGCAACGAGGACGGAAGCGTGCAATTCAAGGTCTGGTAGCCAATACAGAAGCTGTGCCTTTCGGTTGCACCCACTTCTCTCGCAACTGGCTCACGTGCCACGTTGCGCATCCCACGCCCGCACGCTCACACACACACACACACACACACACACACACACACACACACACACACACACACACACACACAAACATACACACACACTCACGCACACTCACGCACACACACACACACACCCCTTGATCCTCTCCCATCCCCTTCCATCCTGCGTCTGGCTGGTGCTCCAGGACCGCGACGACCGCGTGTACCCGGATCTTGAGGCGCTGATCGAGCACTGCACGCGCAAGAAGCGGCTGCGGGTGCTGCTGACACAGCCGTGCGAGCTCCCCGTCAGCGCTGCCGGTGCTGGCAGTATGGATGCACGTGCGTCTGGAACGGCGAGCGACGCGACGGAGGATGAGGACGAAGACGATGATGAGGAGGGCGATGAGGAGCAGGATTTCAACACCGTTCTCGAGCGCGAACTGCGCACGGCCGCGTCCCAGCAGGCCAGACTCAGGTGGCCGCCGTCGCGCGCACGTGCTGCTACGCTGTGCTCTGTGTGTGTGTGTGTGTGTGTGTGTGTGTGTGTGTGTGTGTGTGTGTGTGTGTGTGTGTGTGTGTGTGCTTTCGGCACTTTGTTCGCTTAATGCTCGGTGGACCGCACGCCTTGTTGGTCATGTGGCTCAATCATCCAACTCCCCCACCTTCCAAACCGTGCACCAGGTCTGACGCGCACTTGCACAAGGTGTTTGAGGAGTACATCCACTTCAACGCCCTCGGCGACGCCGGCGATGCACACCAGGAGCAGACGCTCGCAAAGTTCCGCGCCCTGGTGTGTGTGTGTGTGTGTGTGTGCACGCGTGAGCGCGCGCGAAGTCATGTGCGCATGTGTTTGCACACCCCACCTCCACCTGCTCCATCCGTCAACACGAGACCAACGTGCGTGCCAATGCCCACCACTGCCATGATCCCCCTCCCCCGCGTGCGCGTGCTGCCAGGTTGCCGAGCTGGGCAAGCCGTTGCTGCAAGAGCTGCAGACGTTCCAGACGCGTCTCGACGCTCTCCGAAATGTGTTCCAATCGGCCTCCATGCAGAGCAACATCAAGCCTCCCATTCGCGTACGATGATGACGACAGTGGTGGTGCTGCTGGTGGAAGTCGTGGTGGAGATATTTTGGCCGTTGTTTATCATGTTGTTTAGGCTGTTGTCACCGATGTACTCTCATTTCTCCTCCTATGTCGTGCATGCCTTCCACATGTTCACGCGTGTGTACAGATTGAACACCCAGACGTGAAGGAGGGATCTGACGAGCTGACGCGCCTGTCCACCTCCCTCGCCTTCTCAAAGTCCCTCGTCAACAACGTCGAAGCTTTTGTATGTACACCCCATCCCGCACATGCACTCCTCTGTCCTTCGCTGCTGCAATGCTCCTGCATGCACCCCCACTCGCACCCTCAATCCCACCACTCGTGACACCTCCACTCACTCGCCACCCACTTTTGCTCACTTACCACACAATTCCTCACTCACCACCCCATTACTCAACGCACATATCACCCCTCACCACCTCTCTCCCAAAGGCCACGTCGTACCTGAAAGGGCTGCTGTGCAAGCACGGGTCTGGCGGTACCGCCCCCGCTGTTGAGCTCTCCGCCATGAGGACCTTCGACGTCCGCCGCGTTGACGTGGGTTGATGGTGACGTGGAGTGAGCGGTGGTGGTGGTGGTGGTGGTGGTGGTGTGTGTGTGTGTATGTGTGTGGCGTGTACACGTTCGAGTTGTGTCATGCTTGCGATGTTTGTTACATCCCATCGCCTCACACACACACACACACACACACACACACACACACACACACACACACACACACACAAACGTACAAACGAACTGTACGGCTCGACTGCAGCAAATGATGAAGACGTCGACGGTCATCTCTGTGAATCTGAGCGAAGGGTTCGTGTCCATTGGCAAGGACGATCCAAAGCCATACAAGCACGACGAGGTATGCGCACACACGTGTGTGTTTGTCGTGTGTGAATTGAAGCTTGCACTTTCACTCACGCCAGAATTGTCGCCACTGCCCACAATGTTGTTCGTCGCCCCACTCGCGCACTTGTGTACACGCGCGCACATGCACATGCACCTCACCACCCCACCCCCACCACCACCTCCTCCTCTACCCCCTGTGTGCGTGCGTGTGTCAGATTCTGCAACTGATCAAGAGTCGGTCGAACAAACAGCGGCTCGGCGTTGTTCTCAGCGGAAAGCGAAAGGATTTCGTCTTTGAGAGCCTGGCGGTGTGTACGAATGATGATGCTGATGATGATGATGATGATGCTGATGATGATGATGATGATGATGATGATGATGATGATGATGATGATGATGAGTTCGGGTGCTATTGCTGCCCTTCCATCTTCTCACGGCGTCTTTTGTTCTGCACTCACACACACGCACAATCACACAAAATCACACACACACCCTTGTCTCATGCTTGCATGCACACTCGCTTGTGCTGCTGCTGCTGCTGCTGTTGCTGCTGCTGCTGCAGGAGCGAGAGGAGTTTTGCCAGCTGGTGCAGTCGATGAAGAACAGGCTCGGTGACGACAAGGCCACCGACTACATCCGCAACATCGACGTCTTCATTGGAACCTTCAACATGGGCGACGTGCGTTCCAACCAACCATTGTTGCTACTGTTGTTGTTGTTGTTGTTGTTGTTGTTGTTGTTGTTGTTGTTGTTGTTGTTGTTGTTGTTGTTGTTGTTGTTGTTGTTGTTGTTGTTGTTGTTGTTGTTGTTGTTGTTGTTGTTGTTGTTGTTGTGGTGATGGTGTTTCTTGTGTGCGCGTGCGTGTATGTGAGAGTGTGTGTTGGTTGGCTGCTGCCAAGATGCTTGAGCCTCACACCATGTACATGACCCACACATGTGCTCATACACATCGGTCGTGACTGCTCCCCACCTCCCCGCCTTCACCTTTGATCCCCATGCAGGCTGTGCCCAAGGATCAGGACCTGTCGACTTGGTTCCGGTGCGACGGCACGGGCACGGGCGGTTCAATGGACCCGAGCACATACGACATTGTCGCAGTCGGTACGCCCTCTCCACGCGCGGCTGCTGCTGCTGCTGCTGCTTAGCATCGTGTTTCGTGTGTCCGTGTCTGTGTTCTGTGTGCGGCTATATCTGTGTAGCCATGTGTCTGGCTTGTGGCTGTGTGCGTATGTGAGGGTCTTGTCCGTCCGGTATCTTCGGGTTTACTTCCCACCGACCTTCACCACGGCGACCGCCGCTTGCGTGCGATGCCATGTGATGACAGGGACGCAAGAGAGCGGTGGAAGCGAACGCGATTGGATCTCAACGATCAAAGCCGTTATCGGCAGCGAATTCTACCAGGTGCCCGATACTATGAGTATGTGCATGTGCGTGTGTGTATTTGTGTGTGTGCATGTGCGTGTGTGTATGTGTGTGTGTGCATGTGTGCATGTGTGTATGTGTGTGTGTGCATGTGTGCGATTGTGTAAGTGAGACACAGACAGCGAACACACGCGAGCTCTCTCTTTCCTCCTGCTCACGCGTGAACACAACGGCCACTGCATGATTGCGGACAGGTTGCCTTTGTGCGGCTGCTGGCCATCCGCCTCGTTGTCTTCGCCAAGCAGGCCCACCAGAACCTCATCTCACACCTCCAGCAGGGCACCGTCGCAACCGTGCGTCTGTGTATATGTGTGCGTGTATGTGTGCGTGTATGTGCGGCTGGGTGAACGTGTGTTTGAACGTGTGTTTGAACGTGTGTGTGTGTGCGTGTGTGTGTGTGTGTGTGTGTGTGTGTGTGTGTGTGTGTGTGTGTGTGTGTGTGTGTGTGTGTGTGTGTGTGCGCGCGCTGACCTACCCTTCACAAGCCGCCACTCCCCCTATCTTACATGCACCGTTGCAACTTCCCCGTCTGCGTGTACTCCTCGCCCACTGGCAACATCCATTGCGTCACGTGTGCTTGCATGCACCATCTCAGGGCATTGCGAACAAACTTGGCAACAAAGGCGGGGTGGGCATTTCGTTCTTCTTCGAGCAGACGTCCCTCTGCTTCCTCAACTGCCATCTGGCCGCCAGCGCCAACAAGGTCCGCACACACACACACGTGTATGCGTGTGTATGTGTGTGTGTGTTGCACGTGTGTGTATGTGTGTGTGTGCACGCATGTGTGCTGCGCCTGTGCTGCACCTGTGTGCGCATGCGTACCGCCACGTGGAACGTGCACATGGTTGCGCCTGTGTGGGTCCCGATTGCCTATTGCATCAACCACTTCGCTCAACTCTGCAACGTGCACTCACGCCTTCAACCCCTTCACCACCGCCTGTTCATCTCTCTGCAGGTGTTGCGGCGGAAGGCGAACATCCAGGACATTCTCGGGAAACTGCAGCTTGGACAGAAGAAGCTTGTTGGGTTTGATGTTGCCAGCCAATTCCACCACATCTTCTGGTGAGAACGACCCACACTCACCCCATAAATAGCTTCCTTTTGTCACCTGATACACACACACACACACATTCCACAAATCGCCACTTCTGACCGCACTCTACACAAACCGCCCCCTTCACCCCACCCCTCCTCCACCACGACCACCCTGTCCACAGGTTTGGGGACCTGAACTACCGGCTGGACTATCCGCGGGAGGAGGTGCTTGACGTGATCAAGGCCAATCGCATCGAGGACCTGCTGCGCCGCGACCAGCTCCGCACGGCCATGCACGAGAAGACCATCCTCGCCGGCTTTGACGAGGGCCGCATCACGTTCAAGCCCACGTACCGCTACAAGCGCGGCGCACGCAACGAGTACACCATCGTCAAGCACAAGGTGCAGCACCGAGGCGATGGAATTCGCTGTGTGCATTCGTTTCGAAAAGGGGGGGGGGGTTGTGTTGGGGGGTTGGGGCACGCGAGACACATGTGGGTATCCTACCCTTGATTAATGAAGCTTTGCTTGTGTTCCTCCTCTGATAGAGACCACATGCGCATACAATCACACACACACATATTATCCCACGTTGGCGCGTTATCTCACTCCACCCAACACTCACCGTGCGCGCCCTCCTCCTTTTCCTCGTGCTTACATGCACGTGCAGCCTGGTGGGGTGAAGAAGATCAACGTGCCGTCGTATTGCGACCGCGTGCTGTGGCGCTCCTTCCCCGACACGCGCATCCGCCAGCTCGCGTACGGCTGCACCACAAACATCGTCACCAGCGACCACTCTCCCGTCTACTCCGTCTTCAAGATTGGCGTCAGATCGCAATATGTCCCGTACGTGGCCTGCTACTTGCCTTGTATTTGTATGTGTTTGCATGTGTTTGCATGTATATTTGGGTTTGGTTGATTCGGTTTGGCTGTTTGGTTTTTGTTTTGGGGTCTTTAGTGGCTTGCTCGTTCGTTCGGTGTGTGTTCGCTTGTGTGTTCGTGTTTGCACCACTTTCTTGGTTGGTTGGTTTTATCGGCCGGTTTTGCTTGCCTGGTGTGCTTTGTGTTGCTTGCGCGGTCCTCATTCTCAATCCGTCCCTCACCCAATCCCTGCCCTGTACATCTCTGCATGGACAGGAAGCATGATCCGTCTGCCGGAAGTTCGTGCCGGTTGCACATTGCGGGCGCCGATGCAACAATTGAGACGCGCTCCGCCACAGAATACTTTCTCGAGTTCTTTGGCACCTTCTTTAGTGCATCTGGTGCGGTTTGCTCGTCATTGCATCTGTTCTTGAGCAGCGACACACAACACACACACATACAACACACATACAACACACAACACACACACGCGCGCGCGCCACATTCTCCCTCGTCGCTAAACTTCCCTTCGTCCCTCTTCTCATCTCAACGTCCTCCCCCCCTCTCTCTTTGTCTTCTTCCAACGTGTTTGTTCGGGTGCAGGGTCGCTACGCACGAAGAACAACCGCAACGGGTCGTGCAACACGCCGCAGTGGACGGCGGAGCAGATTGATGCCATCCAGCCCATCATCTCGGAGCGCGCCTGTCTTGAGCAGGAGCACTTGCTCATTGCCGTCAAGTCTGCAGACAGCGAGGAAGTCATTGGTACGTGTACACACTGCTGCTGCTGCTGCTGCTGCTGCTGCTGCTGCTGCTGCTGCACACACACACACACACACACACACACACACACACACACACACACACACACAAATAAAAGAAAAAAACCGCTGACCATTGTCGCTGATTGGCCACTGTGCAGGTGTGGGCTGCA